TGTACATGTCCAGTAGGAGTTTCTGGGTTGTGTTGCCATGTGATATGCACTCTCTACCTTCTCAGGGATATGGGCCAAGGCAAACCAATGCTCTTAGAGATAGTGTGTACAAGCAAACTGCAGCGATGGCACAAGAAGGGAACAGCAACAAATAACAAATTTCCATCATATCAAATGATGCCACTTGAACGTCTTTCACTAAGAGCCCCAAGGCAAAGCAGAAAACGAGATGGGAAAAGGAATATTACTTCCAGGTATGAAAGCATTGCGGAAAATGTTACAAATATAGCACGTGCTAGTGTAAGTGTTGAAAAGCAGTCCACCTGTAGAGGAAGTCAGGTTTGCAGCTTACTAATGAACAGATATTAGAGCAAAGCCCTACAAGATCACAACTATGCGTCATCTGGTAGTGGTAATAGTTTTTATTTTTCTGATGAGTTTGGCTCAAACATGTATGCTTTGTTAAATCCCACAACCGACTTCTTCAGAAAGTGAATCCGTGCCCATTCCTGGATGGAAAATTAACCCTAAACAAGTAACCCCTCCTCCCACTCAGATGCACACATAATGGGTTTTGACCTACATGTACATGTACACTTACATGTATACATGTACTTGGCCCCAGGTGTGAACAAGGTCACACTTTCTGGAATGAATGATGATGCTGGGATTTAATCCAATGTTGCAGATTTTATATTAACCAATTTTTTAATTTATGGATGAAATGCTCATGAGGGCAAAATTTCATTGTGTAGGAATTTAAAAGATTGCAGTTAATGATTTTAGTTTATGTTGTTTAATATGTTAGAAAGGAGTGTTCTTTAGTTTAAAGGCTATTCAAACAGTTAAACCTTCTAGAAATTTGAGCAAGGGCATTTTGACCAAATTGCAGTTTGTTGGGCTTGACGGCTTGGTTGTTAAACACTGGCACTTTACATTAATTTTGATTCCCAGCCAGGTTTGAATCCTGTTGGACCGATTAAGATTTCTTTGCTCAATTTGATACCAACCACTCTTTTCAAAGTTAACATGCTTGGTACCTTGGTACAGAGTTTTTGTTTGTTTGTTGGGTTGTTTGTTTGTTTGTTGTTTGTTTTATTGTGCAAAAGGACATACCTGCAGTGCATGTATTTAGTCAAAAGGGGACCTTGGGACCTGTCCGGTTAAACTTGGCAATGCATTTTACTGAAAATTAAGAAGAGAAAAGACCCAAGACACAATGATGTCAGGTTGTGATACATGTATAACAATGCCCATGTACTATGGTATGAACACGTGTTAAGGTATTGATCTTTAAGTCTGATTCAAATACCATTGAATTTAACCAGCAATTTTCCATTTTCAGTGTCTGTAAAAAACAGGATGTTTTTAAACAGAAAATACCCTGGGTTTGTCATGCCCATCCTATTCATCATTGTGACTTAGTGAAAGTAGGTCAGAAGCACTGTGAGCTACAGCTGCATGTACTTGTTCACAGGGATTCTTTTCTTTTTTGTTTGGGAAGTGTTCAATTACAGGCTGTGAAAGTTTTTTTGCTAATGGCCTCATTGTTATTCTTTGAATACAGGTAACAGTGATGCTACTGAGCACAATGACCAGGTACCATCACATGGTTCCCATCAGGCATTTCCCTTGTCTTCAAATTTGAACCCACACCCTGTAACTTCCGATATGCTCCACGCTTACAAGTACAATCATCTGGACTTTACTGCTCTGTGAAAGCTGCTGGAGAGGAAATGGGCCAGATCCCACTTCAAGTGTCCCCTGAGCTGTGTTCTGAGAAGGGACATGCTATGGTTGCACAGAACAGTCCAGAGTGGTATCAACTTAGAAAGAAGATGGTAACATCAAGTAAAGTGCCAGCACTCCTGGGGCTCCGTGGGTCCAAGTGTCAGGAACAGATGCTTAGAGAGGTGATGGAGCAAGAGACTGAAGATGATCTCAAGAAAAATAAGAGGATGGCTAGTCTTCCCAGTTTCAAGCGAGGGCAGCAATATGAAGACAAAGCTGCTGAACATTTCACCCAAGAAACAGGTATACATGTATTTGGTTGCATTGTAGTTATATGCACCTTATTACAATGTAGGCCTGAAAGCAGGATTTTTTGTTCTACGGGGGTATCTTCATAAGTTGGACCACTATAGGTAATGATAATTGTTTAATAATAATTTGCATTGAATAAAAATTGCTGAAAAAAAACAGACATTTTCAAATGTGGGGGGTGGTGCCGATTCCCCGTCAATCGATTTTCTCAAATTATCTCTCAAAGCAGTGAAATCTATCTTTTGTTAATCTGTCAGTTATAAATTATTTTTGGATACTTTTTACCCCAAGCAATTTTTTTAAAGGATTTTTTAAAACAAATACATTATAATTTTTTGTCATCAGGTATTCCTGCTTATAAAGTGGGAATTTATCGGCAAGGGAACACAATGTTTGCAGCAAGCCCAGACAGAATTCTACCTGGCAGCTGGCTACTAGAAATCAAGACTAGAGTAGCAGGAAGTGCCAGCCCCTTGGAAAAGCTTGATGGTACTCACTTTGCCCAAGTGCAAACCCAGCTGTATTGCACAGATAGAACTGAAGCTATTCTTATGTCCTTCTTGCCTGAAGAGCAACTCGCTCACTACTTTTACATTAAACGGAATCACGTTTGGTGGAAAGTTGCAGAAGTTATTCTTGGAAGTATTGTGCACAAAACAAAAGTAGAACATTGGGATTTGAGAGAAACTGAAGTCTTGAGGAAAATAGGGAACGCTCTTCTCGGTCAAAATGCAGAATTCTCTAACACCAAAGCATTCAGATCATGGACTAATGACCTAGGATCTACATGTAAGCGAGTACAACTGCAAGCAAGTGCTACATTGTGATGTGACCTGTTGTAAGACGTGTTTGTTGGACTGAGAAACAATAGTTTGTCCGTACACACTCAACAGAAGAGTAAACATGTGGATTAGTATTCATATCAACTACATGTACTCACAAATTCAATACACTTCAATACATGTACTCACAAATTAGACCGCTTGAATCCATTTAACAGGTTTTATTTATAAAAACAGGTTAATCAAAGGAAAAATAAATTGCTACTTCTGAAAATAAAAGACTAAACACCATGAACACACTGTCACCATGTTTCATCTTTGTACTTCAGTTGGTGTTCTTAACTTCTTACTATGAAAGTTGCATCTAGGAAATCTTACCAAGGGTTCATACTTTTGGTCCAATAGGCTTCCTTAGCAGTACAAACATAAGGCAAATACCTCGCCAAATGTGTGACAACAAGTCTAGTTGTGTGATTGGCCATTTTTGTTAAGAATTTCCCATTGTCTTACTTGGCCAATAAAACGTTCAACGTGAATCCGCAGAGATGCAATATCAAAGTTTTGGTGACACTCAAATTGATCAAACTGATCCTTAGAATGAAGTGAGGGTTTGTTCAGAACAGCCCCTTTTTTGAGGCAAAGGTCGAAAATGTTAAATCCCTTGTCAGTCAGTACAGTACTGCCTTCATAGACTGGTTTCATGACTTCATCTTCAACCTGTTCTGTCAATGTTGAGTCAGTTATTGAACCTGGATAGCAGTTACTAAAAAAGGTCCCTGAACCATTGGCAGTAATTGCAACAAGGGATTTGCAAGTGGCTGCATTTTTGTAGTCTGAAACATTCATGCCATTCAGCTGATAGTCACTGAAGTTTTCATGTTTAAATTCGGTGCAATCGAGTATCAATGACGTGTCTCCATACCCTGCGCCTTTAAATACCTTTGGCATTTGGGACAAAATAAAGTCTTTTGAAGGGCACAAATCAATCTGATCCAAAACAGCTGGAATAAATAATGTCCAAGCCTCAACTAAGCGGCTAACAGTCTTTTCTGAGATGCCAAACAAGTATGATGCAACATTTTGTTTCATCCCCTGTCTCCATATTGTAAGCAAACACAGTAGTTCATTTTGCTTATCTAACCTGCGGCTTAAAGAGATACATCCAGGATAAGCAATTGCACTTAAGTATGGCTCTAGGACTCTATACAAGGTAATGAATTCTTCTACAGTTAGTCCAGATATTTCTGAGAATTTGATCTTATTTTCAGATAACGTTTCAAACGGCAGATGTACACGTGCCTTTGTTTCTATTTTGCATTCTGCATTTTGAATGTTGTCTTGAACATTGTGGTTCTTATTTTCACTGCTGGATTCTTGAAGCATCTTTTGTTCTTCCAATTTCTTTTCCAGCTGATGCTTTTCCCTTTCCAATTCCTCTATGTCAGCCATTCTAGACTTCAGCTTTTCATTTTCGTTGAAAAGCTTTCTCCCCAGTCTTGATTTGCATTTTACTGGGGCAACATTTGGTCGGTTGCTACGATCGGTTGGTGCTCGTCTGGGAGCAACATCCAATTTTCTCAGTCGTTTTGCCTTAAGAAGTTTGACCTAAATTTTCTTTTGCCTCTCTTTTCGGGGGGTTTTCGCCAACCTTTCTTCCAAAGCATTAATTACATTATCTGGAACAGCAATGTCTGGTATATGATCAAGAGACAGTCTCTGTCCGCCAGTCCAGTGAGAAGCACAGCAGTACGCTTTACTCCAGTTGACGTTGTCTGTATGTAAAGCACAAGCGTACAGCTTTTGAATATGGCTGTCAGGAGGAACTCGGTAAGCGGCCACAGATGGCTTGGTTTTGTAGTTGTTCGTGCACAGAGCTTGGCAACAGTTCCAATGGCATTTCATCTCAGAAGTCTCCATTCTATTGAAAAATGAACACGATACATTTAAAATATATTAGTGGGTGTAAATGTACATGCACTTTCATTGCTCAATGCCGCAGACTGTTTTAACCAAGACTACAACAATGAAGCCAAGTTTCAAGCCAGACGGACACGACTGCACTTTAGAAGTTCACTCTTCACGATCAACACGGCATAGCTAGTCTACATATAGTAGAGTGGCGCACTTGACGATCGCTCGATTTTCTTCACACAGCGTGGCCAAACCTTAACCTCTTTGTTGAAAAAATTCCAAATTCAGTTGATGAAATACCTAATACATTTACCTTCACGACACATGGTGTTGAACCTTCGTAAACAATTTCAGTGTCATGAAATTTCGTCTGAAATTAAACAAGGGTAACGTCCGGAAATTGGGCTTGAATTGAGTGCAGTGTCCTCTAACTTAATACATGGTGCATCCCCCCCCCAAAAAAAAGCTAAGAAAATCGCACCTAAACATTAACCAAGTTCCTTTAAGTTGATAAATTATAGTAAATTACAGTTTCTTGCACTCACATACCTGTCTACCATGTGTGTCTACAGTTTTGTTAGAAAATGTTTTTCTTACTTTTTGGGGAAAATCAAATTAAAAGCGAGTTCATTTTCCACTGAGAAAAAAACGTATAGGGGCCTAGCTGGAACAAAACATCGAGAATTATCAATCAGAATAGTTGTTTATTGCTCCAGTAAGAAATAAGAGCCGAAAAAATCTCAGTGCGCCACGTTTGAGGACGCGCCACGTCATGCACGTTGACGTTAGACTACATCATATCAGCAATCATAATGTAACGTTAGACATCGTAAAAAAAGAGGCGATTGCAATTCACAAGGGGTCCAGTTAAAAGTAACATTGTAGCAACTCAGACCGGGGTCAGTACTAATCAAACATACTCACTTGAAAAAGATCGGATTGAAAACGATCGTCAAGTGAGTCCAACTCACTTAACGGAGCGGATTTCCGCTGCGTTGACTCACGAGACTAGGGTCGCCATCTTGACAATTTTCCGCGATGCGCCCTCACCGTCAATATTCAGCTATTTTATGACAGAGGGTAATGTCATTAAAAGTCAATGAGCAAAGTTTTCATGAAACAAAAGGTCCAAAGAAAATCTTTCTTTTTCATCTCACAGCACCGAACCTGGTAACACTTGAAATTTCTGATCGTCACTGTTGCAAGTATAATTCAGGGAGTTGGCTGGCACCGAACACACTTTACCAATGGCTGGACTATGACAGATTTGTTTGTGCTGCCATATTTGTGTTTGACTATAAAAGCCCTGGCACTCTCCACACATAACAGTGTCTGTAGAACCCTGTTGTCTTTCCCTAATTAAATAAAGGGTGTGTGATGGTTTGCCTGGCTCCCTTGCCCTGTTAGACTATTCTCTTCATGTTTTCGTGAAAAGTCCCCTCTTTTTTATTTGTGCCATGGCCTTCAACATTTTTCCCAAAGGAGATCCAGTTCAAGCTTATTTCATGTTCCTCCGGCGGCTGAGTTGGGCCTGTTGTTCTCCACAGTATAGGCATGGATGTTTGGGCCGAATTTTTGGTACTTTTTGTTGTTCTTCAACCTACATGAATAACAGCAAACACAAGTTTGTGACACTGTAGCATCGTCATTTGCAACGGAACATACGGTGTACATGTGTGCACGTGCATGTGGATGAAGTCAATGCTCCTGATGAGCTTTCAATTTTAAATGTGTATGTATACTTTTAAGTGGCACATGGTCTAATATTTCCTTATTTGAAGTTGTATCCTTCATCCGTGAGGACAATTTTTCTACGAAAATAGTGGCAATGATACAAGGTAATTGTCTAAATTCTTTTACCATCTCCTTCAGAACATTTTACTGTCCGAAATTTTACTTGGGTACATGTACATGCATTCAAGCATCCTTTAGTACATGTATTTTAGTCACGTAGCATTTTTGCACTGCACAGAAATGACACTATTTAATCGTTAAAAATATCAAAAAACAGTTTACGTACATGTAAATCACCGGCTGCACATGAACTGATGTGACATGGACAGTTGGTGCACCAAAAACAGACAAAATGCTACATGTTGCATGCCCAGGAAAAGGTCGTTAGTGGCCAAAATAGACAAAAACCACTTTTGGAGATAATAAAATTCAAAGGTTTTTGCGCTCCAATTTCCAAATTAAAAATCACATAAAGCTTGAATTTGGGGGCATGATTTTTGTTCATAATTGTAATAATTATGGGTAATTTCTGATTAAATGTGATACATAATTTTCAATTTATTTGCATGTTTAAGTTAACGACGTCTTGCCGGAAACTCTCTTGGCTGTTACATGCTTTAAGTAGCACAGTAAGTCATTAACGTCCTTTTGCCAGGAATAAAGTTTGCTTTCAGTACGAATTTCAGTGGGACGTTAGAATGATTGGAACACATTTTGCAACATTAAAAAAAATACGTTGACTTTTTTTGCCGGGCAAATTTTTTTTAAAAGGCCTTCCGCCCTTTCCTTGTTATTAATTACGCCATTATGACGTAGACCCTTTAGAATTATGTTTTACACGCCGTATTCAACGGGGTGTAAACGCGCTCCGGTTTGATCTGCCGGAAACAAGATTTGCCGAATTTCTCGACTCAATGGTTGCAATACTGACAACCCACATTGCAGTGCATCACCAAGAAGTTATCAAATAGAGGCCTTTTTGCAGTGCATTATGGGATAGTGGACAAGTGTCATTTTCTAACTGCCCTGTGCGCGGAAAACGTTTGTCTATCCCGGTTGGGAATTAGAAATTCCTCATAGCGAATGAGTTTTATAGGTAGTCAAACTGGTGGATTTTGTGTGATGCAGGGAAACCCCTCCATTAATCATATAGGAATATCATATGGAGTACGCTTAATTGCGGCAGCTTGTCGACCGTGACCGTAAATTTGACCTGTCTGTGGCAAACTCTGGGTGGGGTGCTTTATTGTGAATTAACCGTATTGTGTGGACTGTTTGCACCATTTGTTTTTAATTTTATTGCATTTAATCCTTAACAGTTAATCATTTATTCATGGGCCATACCTTGGCCTTTTTTTCGCCACATCATCAATAAGGCAAATCTGCGCTGAATATTTATACGTAACACAAGACACCGACATTCAATGGGATACAAATTTGGACAGAAACGAATAAAGAAGAAAAGAGTCGAGTCCAAAACTTATTTTGACGGGAATGAAAGAACCTATATATGCTTTGCTAGCTCCACGTTTGGCTCAACCGTTGCCCGAGTCGCAAAGAGGAAGCATCGTGGTGTCTACCGGGTACTACGGAATCGATTGGTTTGATTTTATTTTAAACGCCATCCCTGGAGTAAGTTTTAAGGTGCACTCGGAATCGAAAAGGGTGACCTTAACCATTACGGATCCCAATCTCAAATTGCAACTCAATAGAGAGGTGGCTAATTGTTAAGCTTACCCGAAAACAAACTTTCACCCAACGTTATTTACATAGGTGAGTATAACTCAACTCCTACGTTTATTCACTGCCAACAATTGGAGCACTCCATCAATTTTTATAACGGAAAGTCTTCTAACCTGCTTGACGTTATCCCTTACGACTCAACGAATAAAACGCCTGAAAAGCTGATACCCCGCAACATCGGCAAATTGAACTCCTGAACAACACCAGCAAAATTTTGATTGAATTAGATATCTATTAATAAAATGGAGAAAGATATTGAGACCCACACATTTCACTTGACTAAAAATCCACGGACATTTAAACTTAAAAACGAGATCAAAAATGAAGAAGGGACCAAACGTATCTGCGTCAAAAATATTCAGCTTGAAAATTTTTTTTAAACATTACGAGGGATACAGAGATCGAGTGGATAGTAAAAGAGGAAGCAGCTGAGGAGCCTGGTGCGGATGGGTTAGTAAATTTAAAATTGATAAAAAATATATACCAAGTATTTTGTTCGGGATACTGGTTTCCCCTCTTTTGGTTATAGTTTTAGAAATGTAATAGAAATATTTATAAACTGTTATGTAACAACTTTCGATTTTTTACAAAACCAACATAAATATATTGCTAATTGGGCCTTTAATGTTAAACGAATCAAGGTCATGAGAAGCATGATGCTTTCTATTTTGCAAGCTTTTAGAGTTGGTTATTCTACTTTTATACCGGGCAGAGAAGAGGGTAAACCTTTTTCTGTTTTTGAACCTGGAGAAACGGGCGATGAAAATACAGCGACAGTGAAAGAAGAGCTTTTACGTATTTTTAATGTTTCTGCAAAAGATCGTTCTAGTTTAATAGATACTTTTTTTGAGAATAATAATCTAAGTGTTATAGATTTTTAGACTTTTCCTGGGGTAATAAGAACATCGTACGGGGCTTTTTTGGAACAAGTTGATGCTGGGTTTTCATCTGTATTTTCAAATATTGATAATTTTATTTTAGCGGCGAAGGTTCTCTTGGGATTGGTTTTAGGGCTTGAAGGTATATTTGATACACTAGATTACCGAAGCGCTCTTTCGGATCAACCACCAAACGTCGACAGTCTCTCTACCGAAATGAAGAGAAAGTATGTTTGGTATTCTAGTGAAAGTAAATTAGTTCTTGCGCCTGGTGAACTTGTTGAAGGCGATGAGCAACCAAGTGATCGTGTAGACCCCATATTTAACCGGCTTTACGCCGAGCGAGCGTTTGAGTCAGTGAACGTCTCAGGGGCGAGTGGTAGTATCGTATTAGAGCCCGGATATTATGGAATCGAATGGTTTGATTTTATTTTAAACGCCATCCCGGGTGTTATTTTTAAAGTTTACAAAGAGTCTCAAATAGTTAACCTGATCCTTTTTGACCCTTTTTTAAAACTAAAACTAAACAAACACGCGGGTAAATTGCTCGGTCTGCCCCACGACGAACAACAAAGCCTAGTTGTATACAAAGGCAACTATGACATTGATAATATCAAACATCTGTTTATCCACGCGAGCAGCTCGACCCACATTATAATTTTTATGATGGGAAGTCTTCAACGGTACTCGCTACCCGAGATACAGATTTATGTAATTTAGAGGTCAACCCAACCTGTAAAAGGCTTATAGATCGGAACATAGACGAACTCACCTTTTCTTTAAAAAGCGACACGGGTAGGTTAGTAAGCGGTAAAGGAGATGGAATTTTGCTTGAGGTGAATATCGTTTAAAAAATCTTAATTATAAAAGATGATATACCCAGATTTAAGTAAACACTTAAACTCAGCTGAAACGAGCGAAGCGAGTGAAACCAAAATTTACAGACTCAGAAAGATTGAAAAATTAAATCCCAAATCCAAAGAGAACACGACGCGAGGGAAAATAGTTACAAAAGGATCAAACGACTTTTAACCGCGCTCGGATACGTGGGGTACGGCATGGAAGCCCTAGGCATGTCTTCGGCAGCCGTCGGCATTCCCGCCATTTTGGGCGTCGTTACCGGACCAGTCGGACTTGTGATGGAAGCATCGTTATCGGTGCGTTTGGCGCTTACGCAGTTCTTAAGTACACCTCCCGTAGACTCAACCACAAAACTAAAAAACACGACCAAATTCGAATGTTGGCAGACGCTAAATTAAACACCATCGAGGAATATGTATCTCACGCGATTGAAGACGGTGACATATCCC